TATTCTTCTTTATGTACTAAAGCTCAATGAACCAATTTTCCATTCACTGTCCACAGGCTCTTTAACCACCATGCAGCCATTTGACTGGCAGTTATATAGATGAGATATAGAGATAACCCCAACTCCTCCTTACTGAATCCGGGAGAAAGGGAAGAATGATTAAAACATGTCTTTGGTCAATGTAATGTGTTGAGGATATTACCTAAGGGATATGTGGATTGTCCTTTGGCTTTTGAAGTCCAGCCTACTCAACAGAAAAGACGCACAGAATGTTTCCTTTATGTGTTTGTTACCCATCTCTTGACAACAAAGCGATGACCCATGGCTACCGTCTGTTTCTTACTTAGCTACCACTAGTTTAGTTTCAGGGAAAACCCTGGAATGAGGAAATTACAATACAGGTTAGTTTAAAGAAGAGGAAGAGAAAGAGGAGGAGGAGGAGGAGGAAGAAGAAGGAGGAGGAGGAGGAGGAGGAGGAGAAGGAGAAAAGGATTTTCACGATGGCAAGATATAGTCACTATATCTACGTCAAGATATTTTCATCTTCTCTTTCTATTCCTTTATTAAATTTACCATTAGTTTGTCAACTTTGTTAATCCTTTCCAAAAAACAACTTCTTGTCTTGTGGATCTTTTCCATTGTTTTTCTGTTTCCCAGTTCGTTTATTTATGCTTATGTTTTCTCTTCTTATGTTGCTGGAGGGTTTGTGTTGCGGCCCTTTTACCAGCTGTTGGAGGTCTTGGGTTGAGGCCATTGATATAATAAAGACGCACCCAGGTTCCTTCTGGAACAGGGGTTGGCAAGCTTTTGAGACAGAAGAATCAATCCTGTCCCTCACCACAATTTAAGAACTATCCATGAGCCATAAATGCATATTTACAAAAAAATGAAATCACCATTGTCACATCTTTGAAATTTTTTCAACTCAATTTCTAGGCCATAAGCACACACCGAAAGAGCTGCAGGTGGCTCATGAGCCATCATGTATCGACCTCTGTTCTAGAAGCAGCTCTTTAGGAAATAAACATGAGCCCTTCGAATGATACGAGTATCTTTTGTTTCAGGCACCCCTGGGCTATCCCTGGGCACAACTGGTGCCCCTGGCACTTCCAACACAAGTAAGTCAACAGGTTGACATGGAATCTTCCTGAGTCCATCTGAGCTAGTTCTCTCCCAGTGTCTCCTGTGTACGGGAAGACCATGTTTTCCCAGGGTCCTTAAAAATATCTTCGTGTCACCTTCTTCCTGTGTTCTGCTCTCTCAGAGGCCACAACTTCCCTGGTAGAACGTGAACCGACTGGAGTTGGAATGAGCACAGGTGAGCTCAGTTAAGGTATTCATTATACTTTTAATAACTTTCTAATAAAATGCTTTACCAGAAATATTTCAAAACTGTTTGAATTTCCCTTATTACACATACTGGGCAAATATTTACTACATCTTCAATATTTGATATCAGCAAATGCAATTCAGACACTGCAACTCTTCCTCCTATGAATCATAGAGTTAGCCTCTGAAAGTTATAGATATAGGTTATCTGGACCCAAAATATATCCCTGTAGTTAAACCCTATTCTTAGAAGTCTTCCTTTTTTTTGTAAATTTGCCAAAATAAGGAAATATTCCCTTGGATATATGGATTAATGCTTGAAATCAGCAAGTCCAAAGAAATAACTCTGATATTTTAAAGACACGCCTCCTGCTTTAAATGTCAGGAGGTGAGCTTTTACATCCTAGCCTTTGGGCCTTTCTTCATTTCTTGTGGTTGATTACAGCAAACAAATGAGGATGCAGGCAGGTGAGAGTGGGACCAGCATTTTCTCCGGGCCATGTGGAGCCATACCAACCGGAGTGGTTACTCCGTGTGGGAATTCTGTGACCTCAGATGACGTAGCCAGGCTGTCCCCAGCAGGCTGGGCTTACAGAACACGTCTTCCTTAAACTCTAGTTCCCTGGTCCTTACAGTTCTCTTTACCAAGCTTGCCTTTCTCTTCATAGTTTTTCCCCTTCTATCATCTCTTTAACTTATTTATATCTGGTATTTATTATGCTCTTTGATGACTACTGGCTCTCAAAACCGCCCAGGCGGACCAATGCATATTACTGAAAAAGCTTAAAAGCCGGATGGATTCTGTTTCCTCCCTTAGGCACTTCTGGTACTCCAGGGGGACGCAACCCTGGCAGTGACACGGGTACACATTATTTAAAGCCTTTGAAAAATGCACACTCGCTGCCATCGATCAATCCCGACTCGTTGTGACTCTCTAAGGCAGGGTGTTTGGCTCCTTTGGGGTTCTAGAACTTTAACTCTTTACACAGGTAGACAGCTTCATCTTTCTCCCACAAAGCAACTGCCAGGTTTGAACCCTGGCTTCGTGATTAGCAGCTGAATGTACAACCTTACTACACCACCAGACCTCCTTAGTTAGAGCCTTGCTTCTTTCTTACCTCACAGTGGAAGTCACACCTAGTGGCATCACATCCGTGCCGGGCTGGCCTGGGACCCAAGAGACAGCACAAGCGGTCACGTTCCCTTTGCTTGGAGACAGATCTCTCTAGGACTACGTGTCCATTGCTTGCGGGTCATACTGATGCCTTCTCCATTAAGAGAATTCATGCTGCATTTACTTTTTAGGTACCACTGGAGGCCCCTCAGGAACAACCACTAGATCTGGAAACTCCAAGACAGGTAGGAAAACAAGCTAACGGCTCTATTTACTGACACCATGCGCTCTCGTTAGGAGATGCTGTGCTGTAACATTAGCCTAAGCTCTGTTCCCAGTATTCTAAACTCCCAGGTTTCACCAGTCTCCTATTTCCTCCCCCAGAAGCCACAACATCCACAAAAGGAACCGGTACTGCTGGAGCTGGATCTGAACCCGGTGAGCCTGATCCACCCACGCTTGGGGCGGTCAGAATGAGGACAGTCTCCCTGCACTTTCCTTCACAGTGCTTGCGTTCTCTGTATGGGTATTGCAAGTAAATCGCTATAGGTTTATTATTAGAGATAAAAATTTTTTTAAAAAACCTTTCAGGAAATCTACTGATTCAAAAATTCAAAAATTAAGCCTTCCTTCACCCTGTCTGAGATGTGATAGGATTTCACCGTTCACATTACAAACATCACCAACGTATATACAGAACCAGAGAACCAAACAGGCCAGTATTGGGGAAAAGCTTATAATTCCCCTTTTATTGGACATCAGAGAGAAGTACTTTGAGCTGAAAACATTGCTTTCTTTGGTTTTGTTCTAACTTGTCAAAAATGGGAAAATGCACTTGATTCACCATATCTCATGTGTCCAGAGTAATGGATTTTTCTCTCACACATGCATACATTTACAAACATGTATATGTATCCATGAATCAAAATTTGGATTCCTTCTTTTTAAACAAGGAAAATTATATGCAGAAAGTGTTAGTTACTTTTCAATCAGAAGGAAGTATTTTCTGGCTTCCTATGAGGAGACAAGAACATTTCAGTTGTGCTTATCTCAAATAGCAGCACCGCCTCAGCACATCCCCCGACCGGAATAGTCAACTTACCTCGTTTCCTGTCTTCCTTCATAAGGAGGCCACACCTTTTGTAGGAGTTAGTGGCACCACTGGAGCAGCAATAAAATCAATTGAGGATTTGGGGAGTTTCACAATGCGTTGCTGTGGTTGGATTCTGGGTTGACAGATTTATTGAAGGAAACAAACAATATAACTTTCAATAAGAACGCTATTCTGAAATAAGTGTGGCTTCACAGAGAAGTTGCAAAGGTGATGTAGAGTTCCCATGGGATGAAGTTTTTATTTCCTCTTGAGGCTACAGCATTTTGAGGGAACTGGGTTTTGTTTTGTTTTATTGTTGTTGTTTTGTTGTTATTGTGTCCCTCTTGGACTCACTTGGACTTCTGCTTCCAAAAGGCTTTCCCTTTCTCAAACGAATGTTAGTGATGCTGGCATTTGGAGAGGAGTCTAGGCAGTAACCGTGACTCTGGATTGGGGAATTTGACTTATTTTTGTCACCATAAAATTCAGTAGGATGGCATCTTTTAGTTCAATTCCTGAAGTTCAATATCTATTCACATATTTTTTTTCTCATTTTCTATTCATTAGGGGCCACTACCAGAGCACCAGAAAATAAGACAGGTAAACATAGAAGAAGCTTATGATTTTAATTTTAATCTTGGACCAAAGAATTATCATGGCTGGGGCATTAGCTCCTGCATTAAACTTGGCTTTGTAAAGGTGCAACTATTGCACTTGGCAGTTCAAGTACAGGTAGGTTAACCTTGTGTGAAGGAAATGTCCTCTTTGAAAATGATGTAACAAAAATGACTTCCATGCTCTACTCACGCTGAGTAGATCTTATACAACTTGTGTTAGACAGGGTTCTCTAGAGAGATAAAACCAAATTCCTGATAATATAATATATTTATTTATAAAGATAATTAGATATATAAGGAGAAATGAACTGTTAAATCATATACAGATAAATATACAATACAAGAAATAAACAGTTAAATTAGAAAGCACGATAAATGGCTTAGTGCAACTCACGTCCGTGAGAGAAAGTTGAGAGACTAGCAGTCCTTCAAGTCTCTGTCTGATGCCAGATCTTCCTCTATTTGTAGAGAGAGCTAGGCTATGTCAGCACAGCAGCCAATCACAAGGCAGGTCACCAACCGCCAGTCCCCAGCTCCCGAGAAGTCTTAAAGGGACCTCAACTTACAGCAACACAGCCCACAGGCTAGGTGTCCCACAGGCAGTGTAGCCTTTAAATTGAGGCACAGAACAAGCAAAGCAGCTGCACGCTGGTCCGATGATCACAGAGCGAGAGACAAGAAAGGCAAGGCTCACCAAGCCATCCATCTCTCTGCCCCTCAGTCAATCCCACCTACGTTTATCAGCCAGGCTGGCACAATAAACTATCTCACAACTCATATATGAAGATACCAGAAAATGAGAAGAGAAGTGATATTTGTCTGAAAATTTTTCTTTTGCTGTTATCATTATAGGTTTCACCGATATACTACCTGAAAATAGTTCAGGCCAAGAAGGTTCTATTTCAGGTAAATATGAAACCAAATGAAAGTTATGTCAGTGTAATAGGCTGCTTATTTACCTCAATATGTTAGACTGAAATGGGTAGTGATTATCCCAATGAAGCTGTCTACCTTTACATGCAAAAGTTTCCTGTGTCCATCTCTTAGGAGCTCCCTAGGGAAAAACCTAGACATAGGGGAACATGGCAAGAAAACAGGAGGAGCAGGAGTAGGGGTGATGATCTAACAATCCTTGTCTTACACCCTTTACATTCCAAAAATGGGGTATATTGAAGAACTTACATATTTATTTCATTTCTGGGTAATATGATGCATGAGAAAACAAAAATAAGTAAGCAGAACCAACATTTCCATCTGTACAATTAGTTTCCGTTTCCTTGATCTTAGGAACCACCACTGCAATGTCTGATAAGCAAACTCCTGGAAGTGAAACAGGTGAGTACAGGAAAGGCCCTGGCCCCACTGATATTTAACCTTAGGGAAGCAAATCACCAAGTCTAGACCACAGTCAATGTATTCACATTGGCTTTGAACTGATCCATAGTTAACTATGGATAAGGCACCTCACTCCAACAAGACAGCCACAGAGAAGGACTTCCGGCTGTGTTAGAGTTCCAGTCTCCTGGCCATGCTTTCTTCCAGGTGGGAGAAGGATTGCTGTTTCGACCTCTGTTTCTTTCTCTTTCCTATTTCAGGCACCACTCAGGTGGTCTCTGGGACAACAGTTGCCACTGGAAGTTCAAACACGGGTAAGTAAATCACCTAGCAGGGAATATAAGGAGCTTCACTTAAAGATGTGCTCTTTCCCCTTTCTATACCCGCTACATATTAATTTTCTAGTAAATCACATTGGTTACAACGAATTCAGGGGGTGAGAGTTCAACTCCATTTGAATAACTCCATGATGAAAAAAAAATTTTAATTCTAGGTGATTAACACTTTATCTTACATGAAATTTTCTTGCCATATTTGTAATGCAATGGAATAATAGAAACCATATATGATGTATCACATAAGGCAAGAAAATTCCTGCTGTGAACCTTTGGGTTCATCATAGAAACTCATCCATTGGTTTTTAACCTAATCCTATTTTAAGGTTAATTAAAAAAAAGAAGAAGAAGAAGAAGACCTAAAGCACAAACAAAACTCATGGCCATGTAGTCAATTCTGACTCCTCGTGGCCCAGTGGGACAGAGTAGAACTGCCCTGGTGGGTGAATGGGAGTAGAAAGCCTCAATTTTCTCCTGCAGAGTGGCTGGTGGTTTCAAACTGCTGACCTTTGAGCTAGCCGACCAATGTGTGCTCCCTAGATCGCCAGGGCTGAATCATAATTCATATTGTGAACTCAGATCTCCTTTTGTGATTTCAGTTACCACAGCCATCGTACCTGGGAGTCCCGGCACAAGTGAGTCATGAAAAAGACGGGGAGCCTGACTGTATCAACGTTGGGAAACCCAATGTGCCCTAGAGAAATAATAATGTGAAGTAATACTGTTACATATTTTTTGGAATATCTGCATTCCTTACCATGTGTTCTTTATTTCTTCTCAGAGTCTACCACATCTACCACCAGAGCTGTAACAGAATCTAGTGAGTGGTTTCTTGTTTCAGTCTTTGGTTCTGAACGTTTTCTCCAGGTTAGAATAGACAGCGCGTGGAAAGATGGGTTGAGCCATGCTTGTATATATTGCTTAAAGGAGTGTTATAATGCGTTCATCGGGCTTGGGCTATTGGTAGTCAGGCTGATGTCCCCCGTCGAGCAGTTTTTTAAGATGTGATTTTACGACACTAAAAAGCTGTATTACTTTCAATTTTTTATCCATCTTAACTCTGTGGGGAGAACTTCGGGGTCCACTAGAGTTTCCAGGGGACCAGAAGATTCTGGTTTGGGTTAGTAGAAATGTTTCATTGCTCACCTTGTGCTTCCTGTCTGAGATAAAGCACACCACTCTTGGGGGGTTTTCATCATGACTGAGGTACCAACAGATTTAAATGTTCTCTTATTTATACTCTTCCTCTCCAGGAGTCCCCACGGAAGTGCCAGGGAGCCAAGTCACAGGAAGTAAAACAGGTGAGCAGAGGAAAAGCACTTCTTTCCAAAATCTTAAACCAAGGTCTCCAGAATGAGACATTTGTTCCCAACGAATGAAACAGCTTGTTGGAAAATACAGTGTTCTAATCTCAATGTATACATTAGGCTGCTAACTGCAAGGTCAGCAGTTCAAACCCACTAGCTGCTTTGTTGGAACATTTCTGAGGATTAAAAAAAGGACTTTGTTTTCAGAGGGCCTAATCTTACAGCTCAAAAGCCTTGAAAGTAGACCTCTTAATGGGTCCAAGGTGGGGGTGGGGGAGGCACAGACCAGCATTAGTAGATCTACTAGCACCCTCCAGATACTTTGGGATTGTTGGTAGTACGAAGGTATCTTAAGACATGTTCTTTTGAGACCGGACAAGGTTCCTTGCTTACCCTCTCTTCATTTTAGGTACCACCAAGGAGGCATCTGAAACAACCACTGCACTGGGAATTGCTACCACAGGTGAGTCAAAACATCTCAAATAAACATTACTTGGTGGCATCTTACCAGACAGACCTGCTTATATGACATTGACCTCTCCCTTCTCCAGTCCCCTGTATTTACCACTTCGGTTCCTCTCTTACTAGGAGTCAAAGATACTTCTGGAACTGGACAGCAAACAGGTAAGCACTGGCCATTCAAAATTGTCAGTGATGAATGTAGTATTGAAAACACATAGGAGTTGAATTTGGGAGAACTAGGCTGATGGGAAGAAATAGGAGAGGCCAAGAAGATGGTGTTAAATGTCCTTTTGGAAGATAACATTGAAGGCCAACCTTTCATCTCTGAGATTTCTCTTAGGCTAGATTGCCATTAAAGTTGCATGCCCAAAGACTTTGTGATACAGCTTGAGAGCTCTGAGACGGGATTGTGAAATGTGGTTGCCCTGAAATCTTTTTCCCCTCCTTTGTCAGGCTCCACCTCAGGGTCAGCTGGCATCACAAGGCCAGACTCCCATCCAGGTAAAATAAGATGACCCAAATGAACTAGAATCAATTGTCCGCTGTAAATGAAGCTTTTGTTAAGCATGACTGTGTGTGGTCACATGTGCATGCACACAGGCAGACACTCAATATGCTTGCATTTATTCTAGTAAATTTAAAATGACAATAAACCAAACAGTCCATTACCGCTGAGTCCATGCTCCCTGAGGGCAACTCCACAGCGCAGAGCAGAGCGGCCAGGTTCGCCAAGGTGGTAAATCTTCACTAATGCAAACTGCTGCAGCTCTCTCCCAAAGGGTGGCTAGTGGGTTTGAACCACCAAACTTCTGATCAGCAGACCAATGGTTAACCTACTAGCCCATCAGGTCTCCTTCCAGGGTTCACTAATGAATTCATTTATGTCCCCCCTCCCCCCTAGGAACCACTGTGAAAGCAGGGGATCGTGAAAGGGAAAATAAAACAGGTCAGTATGGGAAACACCCTAATTTCTATATTATTGATTCAACTAACATTTTAAGCCCCTTATATGTGTTAGACCTTGGAGCAGACACTGATGGCGGTGAGATATGCCATTTGCCATTGATTGATTTTCTGTTCCTGTGAAGAGATTATTAGAAGCGTAGATACTATCATCCCAGTGCCCAGGCTAATCTGAAAAAAATGTGCAATTGTGATTCATTAAAGTGATATGAAATAGAATATTAATTTTTGCTTATTACTTGGTGGTGGTAAGAGAAAGAATCATAGAGGGGGTGACAAAGTTTAATGTTTACTGACATAGACAGGGACATCCTGCCTAACAGCCTTTAAGGAGGCAGACATGACACCACATGAGTAAATTCAGGAATTAACCAATTATTAGCAATGACAGTAGGGACAAAGGGGGATGTCAGGCAGAAAAGGTAAATAGAGTACAGTTCATGAAAGATCTTATTTCCAGTCCTAAAGGTGACTTGATCCTTATCATCAATGGCACTTACCAAGGATCTTACCAAGAGAAAAATGTAATGAGATCTATTTTAGAGAAATTACCGTGACAGCATTGTGGACATTCAGAAGGGGTTCCTTAGGCTTCTTTATGGATGGCAATTCCACTCAGGTGATAGTTTCTGTTGTAGGAGATAACTTCTCTTACCTGAGACTGCTTTCTGCTAATTGGCTCAGCCTTTGTAATTAGGACCCAGCCTCACTTCCTTCAGTTAAGAGTCAAACTCCCACCTATTTAACTCATTCCTCATCTTTATTTTTCAACTAGAAATATTATGTAATGTAACTTTACTTAACCACTTAGAAATCTTAAGTTCTATTCAAATATTCTTCGGCTCCTAGGCCAGCCTTTCTCTTTTTAGATGGAATAAAAATATTGACCTACATTTCAGGAGCTCTTAAATAAAATTTGAAATTTATGAGTGGATGTCTGGGTTGACAAAATATGAGATGTGGGAAACACACAGAAAAAGATACACATGACAGTTTAATGCATTTCATGGGTGTAAAGATCTAACATGATGGAAATATTTTAAGGAGACAAAAATAAGTTAGGTTTTTTATAGATACCTGAATCATTCTTTTTCTTATTTGATTATGCATTTTATCATTCTGTTCATCAGAACTATCTTTAAATAAAATTTTGAAGTAATAGAGATGCACCTTGATGTTATCTGCTTTTTTCTTTTAAATAGCATGTTACACTTTCGTTAACATCCAATTTCCTCTACCAAGACTTACTCTCTATTGGTAGACTTTTGAATATAAGGAAGATCAGAAAGGGGTGATATATGGGCAATGTAGATGCCTGTAGAACTAGCAATGTAGATATTAAATTCAGTAATAAAGGAATGAACTAGATAATTATCCTTATCTCCAGTGTATTCCCATAGCTTCAGATTAATGAGAATTTTCTATGTGTTCATTTGTTTGTTTATTTATAGACTGTCCAGCACCACTCCCACCACCTCCAGGTAAGAACACCTCCATTTAGGAAGCATTCTGAATTGATGCTTTTTCCCTCAGAAATAAAATTTCAGAGGCTGTTGCATGAGTCAGCTGCTAGCTAAGAAAATGTTAGAGAACTGGCAAACTTCAAATGACAAACTAAGCTTTTATATACTAATTTGGTTTTACTCTCTTCATAAGGAATAATGGGCTGTTTTTCTCACAAAAATTAATGAAGCAAACTAAAGAAATGTATCTCTTTACTTAGATTAAAACAAAGTTTACTAATTACTGTCATTGGTAGTATTTTTAACTCGATCATTCCAGATTCATTAAGGAATAAACTCCAGCAAAAGGAAGTCAGGTTCATTAGAATTCACTAATCTTGAGTGGTTAATTGAGTTCCTACTAGGATTAAGACATGGTGATCTGTAAAAATTACTAACAAAGATATACTCTGGCATTAAGATATAGACAACCAAAAAGTGGATGAAGGGAGACGTCAGACAGGGCAAGATATGACAAAATACCCATTTATAAACTATCAAGGGCTCATGCGGGAGGGGGGAGCGGGGAGGGAGGGGAAAAATGAGGACCTAATGTTGGGGGTTTAAATGGAGAGAAAATGTTTTGAGAAACGATGTACAAATGCGCTTTACACAATTGATGTGTGCATGGATTGGGATAACAGTTGTATGAGCCCCTAATAAAATGTTAAAAAAGAAAAAGATAAAGTAATAGATTTTTCCAAAAATATAATCAATTTTCATATAAGACAGAAAATCAATTT